CTCTAGATTTGCCATTTTGTACCATATATTTAGAGATCTTGTAGCTTGGTTAATCATGTATTATATGTCTACTTCATGTGTTTTTATGTGTTTTTACATGTTTTTGAATTTTTTACAGATCCTATTCTTTTTGTGTCACTAAATAAACTTGTATTTCACAAAGAATCTGTAGTACAGGGTTGATAACAAATTCCCACTTTTCATTTTTCTAGACAAGTTAAAATTCTATCTGGTGTTGCTTTCGCATCTTAATTTGCTATTTTAGGTATTGTGTGTTCTACTACTTGCATTAGCTTGTTTCTATGCCCTGTATCTGTCTTTTATTGGTTCTACTACAGTTGTTTTCCTCTCCTCTAGGTTCTTATTGCTTTTGTACGTTTTTATAAATAGTTTGTTTATACCATTTGGTTTTGGGTCTTTTTACAAATAGTGTATTCAGCTACTCTATCACCTTGACTGTAGAGTTTGTCTTGCTTTTCTGCCTTAAAACTTGCAGAAAAATACTGGTTTTGCTGTGTATTGTTGCTTTTTTCTGTTTGTGAATTTTTGTACCTAGTGATCGTCAGAAAGAGTAGTGATTAATTTATTTTATAAAATTTTATTTTGTTGTTATATATATTGAATTATTTCACAACTATTTAAAATACTTCCAAAATATTTTAACTTATTTTTGAAATAATTATTACATAATTTTTCAAAATAAAATTTTGTAATATTTTAAAATAAATTTCATAATATTTCAAAATTAAAAATTTCAAAATACACTGTGTTATTTATAATTATTTCAAAATATTTCTGGTCTTAATAACTTTCGTAAGTTTTTGTTTATATATTTTGCTGATATATAATTACATCCCAACATACCTTAGACCTAATAAGCATTTACCAAGTATTTAGCAAATACTTGACAAGTATTTTTTAAATACTTTGAGATGTTGGGTTTTGCTTATTCATAGTTTATAGTTCTAGTATTAGCTTATAATATACTTTAATTTAGTTATCTTCTCAACATATACAAAGTTATTATCAATCGAGAGCACAGTCAAATGATTTTCTGACCTTACAATTCTTCGGAAATTGGAACCTGCTTTTATAATAAGTCAAATAATAGATCCTTTTGTTGATTCAAAGACTACTAGCAAAGCAGTTTTGCAGTTAAATAAAAAAACTGAAGTTTTATTTTAATCAAGCAAGGTAATCACCGCAATAGCAACTCTTTTGTTATAGTTATTGCATAGTCTCAGATATAACAATCTTGTGCCAATAAGTAAATTAAAAAAGCACAGATTGTCACATAAGACTGTACAATAAAATGATTAATTTTTTTTGCTATTACTTATTTCAATATGTGTAGTGGTTATGAATTTTTACTAAAAATTAGATATGGGGTAAATTTTTTCTCAAAGTATAATACTTGGGTAAGAATTTTTTAAAATTATATCAGGTATAATCAGATCTTACAGGTTAATAAACAAAAACGAACCTGACCTGATACTTTAATAGACCCGACTCGAACTTGACCCGATCTATAATGAGTTTATAATTTGAACCCGATCTGGATCTGAACCCAACTTGATCTGTGAGATTTCGGGTTTGACCTGACCCATTCCATACTTTAGTCAAAATATAAATGTTGATAGAAAGAGCTTGAATCTTCATTAAGTTTGCTTTTAACTTTCTATATTATCCTTAATCTGATCCAAGTTGCAGGTTTCTTTTTTTTTATTTTAACAGCTCCAAGATCTTGTAAACTAGAGTTCCAATCTAGTTAGCATTTATTCAGATAATTATCAGATATCCAGATCTGAATTTATTTGGATATCTATTTACTATCCATTTACTATTGATATTTGGATAATTAATTATTCGAATATTTGTCAGATTATTTAGATATTAATAATATCAGATATAGATAAGCAAATAACAGATTGGAACTCTATTATAAACTACAAATATCTTCAAAAGCAATTCCAAATATAATGTATTAGTTTCAGTTATATAAAAAAAAACACATTATTAAAAAAATACATTATACTGTATATCAGCACATATGAAAAGTTTTCATTTATATGTGGCTATTCACTTTAAATAAAACTTAGTGTGATACTAAAATAACTACATTATAGTTAGTCTATAAATTTTTCTCATCAATAGGTTTCTAGAATGAACTACACTACTGCATAACAGTCTATAGCTTAAACATCTCTCTATTGAAAGTAAGTGTTTATTGTAAGCAAATTAATACACAAATTCTTTATATTATAGTTAGTATTTCGTACTAGAATTAAGGTTTAGGAGAGGTTTTGGGAATGTAAAACATTTTTACTTCGAGTATTGTATATATTAATTAATGAGTCAGTTTTTAAAATAATGCAACTTAGATAGTAAAACACTATAGATACATTTTAGTAAAAATGTTTGTTATAATAGTGTAAATTGTTTTATAATAATCAGAAATCACTATGGTGTGGAACATCTAGTCATATCAAAAAATAATTGCTTGTAATAAAAGTTTAATAACTTTTTAAAATAAAAAAAAATTTTCTATAACAATATTATTTAAGACCCAAAGAATATCTGTATAGAGTTTTTCTAAAAATGTTCTTTTATTAAAAAGTTATTTGGGTTTAAAATTTCTTTAATTTATTAATATATATATATATATATATATTTTAAATATTTAAGGTGAGACTAATTTATTAATATTTTAAAAAATTCAGCACTTTATTTTATTAGTAAATATAAAAAAATATAAAAAATACTTTTTAATAAATTAATTAGTATATAAAATTTTTTTTTCAAACTTCAAATTTTCTTTTTTTTTTATTTTTATTTTTATTTTTATTTTTTTTTTATTCAATCTCTTTTAAAAATTTCAGCACTATTAAACATTATAAACATTATATAAATTTTAAAAAATTCAGCTCTGAATTTTAAAATTCAATATTATATTTTAAAATTCAGCGTTAATTATTAAAATTTCAGCGCTACTATATATGTTTATATATATATTTCAAAATTCAGCGCTTTGATGTGACAGATGTCCCGCACCATAAAAATTAAAATGATCTACATTGTAGAAATATCAATTCCCAAATTTTATTACGTATATAACCATATATATTTGATTTACATAGTATACCGAACACCGTAGTTTAACATGTACAATACGTAGAAAAGCTCCGAAATCAATATACGTCGGAATAAAGGCCACATTAAAGAAACAATAACTAGCACTACACTACCGAATACTACACCAAAAACTTAACAATAAAAGAATGCCTTTTCGACTCAAATTCCTTTGCTATAACAATGTCCAACATTATATGTTCCTCTAGCATTTCCTATCTCTGTAGATTTTTGCCAGTAAAAAAATGCTTTATGTGCATCCTTTTCAGTTCCAATTCCATCATGATAACATTCGGTAAGATTATTTCTGCAGATTGTTGGTAATAATTAAATGCTTATGTTCATCCTTTTTACCTTCATAATATCAATATCCAACATTATTTATTCCATCAGCGTGCCCCATCTCTGCTGATTTTTGATAATAAATGAATGCCTTATATTCATCCTTTTCAACTCCAATTCCTTTGCTATAACAATATCCAACATTATGTATTCCATCAGCGTCCCCCATCTCTGCTGATTTTTGATAATAAAAGAATGCCTTTTGTTTATCAATTTCGACTCCAATCCCTTTGCTATAACAATGTCCAACATTATATGTTCCTCTAACATTTCCTATCTTTGCAGATTTTTGCCAGTAAAAAAATGCCTTGTATGCATCCTTTTCAGTCCCAATTCCATCACTATAACATTCGGCAAGATTATTTATCCCTAAAACATCTCCCATTTCAGCAGATTGTCGATAATAGTTAAATGCCTTATGTTCATCCTTTTCAACTCCAATTCCTTCATTATAACAATATCCAACGTTATTTGTTCCACCAGCGTGCCCCATCTCGGCAGATTTTTGATAATAAATAAATGCCTTATGTTCATCTTTTTCAATTCCAATTCCATGTTGATAGCAATATCCAATATTATATAATCCCCCGGCATTTCCCATTTCTGCAGATTTTTGGTAATAAAAGAATGCCTTATGTGTATCCTTTTCCACGCCAATTCCTTTATCATAGCAATATCCAACATTAAACGTTCCTCTAGAATTTCCCATTTCAGCAGATTTTTGACAACATAAGAATGCCTTATATTCATCCTTTTCAGTCCCAATCCCATCATGATAGCATTCGGCAAGATTATTTGTCCCTAAAACATTTCCCATTTCAGCAGATTGTCGGTAATAATTAAATGCCTTATATTCATCCTTTTCATCTCCAATTCCTTCATAATAACAATATCCAACATTATTTGTTCCATCAGCGTGCCCCATATCAGCAGATTTTTGATAATAAATAAATGCCTTATGTTCATCTTTTCAACTCCAATTCCATGTTGATAGCAATATCCAATATTATATACTCCTCCGGCATTTCCCATTTCTGCGGATTTTTGGTAATAAAAGAATGCCTTATGTGCATCCTTTTCCACGCCAATTCCTTTATCATAACAATATCCAACATTAAATGTTCCTTTAGAATTTCCCATTTCAGCAGATTTTTGACAACATAAGAATGCCTTATATTCATCCTTTTCAGTCCCAATCCCATCGCGATAACAGTCGGCAAGATTAATTATCCCTAAAATATTTCCCATTTCAGCAGATTTTTGATAATAAAAGAATGCTTTGTATTTATCCTTTTCAACTTCAATTCCGTCTTGATAATAAGTACCAAGTTTAAAAATCTCATCAGAAATATTAGAAATATCAGAAACATCAGAAACATCGACGTCAGCAAATTTATGATCAATGTCATGATCGAATGATTTATTAATTTGTAGGGAATCAATTATTAATAAACTTTCGCTGTTATTTTTATCACCTATGACCATTAATCAAGTTGTTAAAATCGTATTTTAGGAAAATTAAGAATAATCTACATAGATAATATCATGATATTCTTACCTATATTGTTTGACTTAACAGTTTTAGGTATTTCGAATACCAGATTATCGATGATCATCTCGTCAGCCTTTTTTATTAGCGCAACGAATGCAGTTGACTCATTTTTTAAAAGTTCATTATACCAAATATCAATAGTCTCATATATTTTTTCAGAAATTGGCCTTTCACCCGGCTGAGCACTTAAGCATTTTATTTATTAATTCAGCAACCAATTTTGGTACGTGTGTTGGAATTATTGGACGCTTACCCTCATAATATATTTCACGTGCTAACGTGATATTGTGTGGAATGCCTTGATATGCTAGAAGACCTGATACTATTTCATATGCTATAATACCAAAAGAATATACATCAGATGACTTACTATATTCATTATTATATAATACTTCAGGCGCTATATATGGAATTAAACCATTGTTATTTGATTTTAAATTTGTTAATGCGGAAAGCCCTAAGTCTGCAATATATGCATTATGTAAGTCATTTAATATATTTCCGCTATGTAAATCCCGATGAATCATCTCTTTAGAATGAATTATATGAAGATCAAAAGCAATGCAATTTAATAGATTTAATTTCTTTATCCATCTCATTTGTGATACAGGATAAAGGTTTTTACGTAAAGATCCCATTTTAGCATATTCTGTTATAAGTATATAATCTTTACAAATATTATTTCTTGATATACCTAAACATTTCAAAAACGTTGGATCTTCAAGACCAATATCACAGTATGCCTTTAGCTTATAAAATAAAATATATTCAAATTGTAAATATAATTATTTAATGAAAGCTACCTCTTTTATAAATTTTTCATAATTATCATTTGATTCATGAAGTATTTTAAGTGCGACATGTCTCCCTACATCTTGACTATAGTCAAGCCAATAGGCATAATATACAGTTGAAAATGCACCTTTTCCTATCTCCCTTATTTCATCAAATTCATTATAAGGAATCCATGATAGTTTATTTTTGATCAATAATTTTTTCAACTCATCATCAATATCAGGACTGTTATATATATATTCACTCATGTCTAATAAATGAATAAAGATTCTGTCAAGGTTAGATTTTGAAATATTTTGCTGTACAAAAAAAATTTTTTGGTTTTCATCACATTAAATAAAATATATGGCCCAGCAACCTTGCTAAATATTCTATTGTAACTGATGATAAAATTCAAACATTCAAAACCATATGATAAATTAGCATGACACGGTTTCGGCAATATGCTGAGTTGGATTCTGTATATGTCAGTATGTAGTTTGTGCTTGGTTTGGGCGTTCCAATTTAATATTGGTCACCTCATTAGTTATACAGTATAATGTAATGCTGGTAGATTCAACCGAGATTTAGTTTTTTCAGGAACTGACTTTTGAAAAAGCCGTATCAAATTAAAATTTTATTACATCTACAATTTCTACCTGTTTATAAAAAAACTTTTTGCTATCATCTCTATCCGAGTTTTGCCAAACTTAACATATGGAGTTTTAGGCCATTTTACGAATCAGAGTATTACAACCTATTCTGTGCCTCACACCCAGATATAATTGACCAACAGGGATGTGAAAACCAAAAAAATTGTAACACCTTATAATTAAATTAATCACCTGGCTTTAGATTTTCACCTCTAATCAGAGCTTTATTAGAAAACCATAACAAAATAAAAAAAATAATAATTTTAAAAATATTTACCTCTTATACCACTCTTTGGCTTTGTCTATGTCTCTTGTTACTCCAATTGCGTTTCGATAACAAGACCCAACTTCGGACATTCCAACAGCATTACCCAGATTGGCAGATTTTTCATAATAAATGAATGCTTCATATTCATTCTTTTCAATTCCACTTCCAATAAGATAACAACGCCCAACACTAAACATTCCCATAGCATCGCCCATCTCTGCCGATTTCTGATAATATTCGAACGCCTTGCGCTCGTCTTTTTCAACTCCAATTCCATTATTATAAAAGTAGCCAACATTATATGTTCCACTAGCATGGCCCATCTCGGCAGATTTTTGATAATAAATGCTTTACGTTTATCCTCTTCAACTCCAATTCCATCACTATAACAATGTCCAACAATATATGTTCCGTTGGCATTCCCCATATCAGCTGATTTTTGACAGTAAGTAAATGCCTTATATTCATCTTTTTCAACTCCAATTCCGTTTTGATAACAGAAACCAAGTACACATATTGCACTTGCATTCCCCATATCGGCTGATTTTTGATAATAACTGAATGCCATACGTTCATATTTTTCAACTCCAACTCCAACAATATAGCAATGTCCAACATTAAATAATCCAGCAGAGTCTCCCAAATCAGCAGATTTTTGGTAATAAATGAATGCTTTAAGTTCATCTTTTTCAATTCCAATTCCATTCTGATAATAATAACCGACTTGACGCATTCCAATAGAATTTCCCATTTCAGCAGATTTTTGATAATGAATGAATGCTTTTTTTTCATTCTTTTTAACACCAGTTCCATTCTCATAGCACCATCCAAGAACACACGTCCCAATCAATGTTCGAAATTTCAGACTCAATTACTGTTCTCATGAGAACAGTATGATGGCTATGAGTGTTCTCAAATTGCTATTGGTGTTTTTACTTATGCTCACTAAAAAAAAAAAAAAAAAAACTAGCTGATAATTGAATTTGGGTCAACCTTCCAAAAACCAGATTTTTGAAAGAATATAATACTGACATAGTTAGCCAGTACTAGCTATAATGCTAACTAATTTATGTTCTTTCAATAATCCGTTGTTCGGAATTTTGATTTTGATCCAAAATCTAATAATATTACTTTTTTATATTTATTATGTTAATAAAAAGTTAAAAACTAATAGTATATATAAAAAGCATTTTTTATATTCCTATAATTTTTCTAGTTACTTACTATTTAATTTTCTTTCTTTTTAATTATGCTTACCCAACAAATTAAATATTATAGTATTAAATGCATTATATAATAGTAAATTTAAGAACCTACTTTAATGTATAATAAATGTTCTTTAATTTAAGTAGCTTATTTATGAAATACTTACCAACAAATTATACTTATTTAAATATTAATTAATAGATAACTTTTATATTACTAACTAATTAATCAATTAAGTAGCTGCGCGACATTGTCACGCCAAACCAGGAACGGATGAATATAAGCTTAATTTTGGACAGCTCCAATACGAATTCAGATAAAATAAATATCGGGTATACAACTTAATACAGTATAGCTATATTGATATGAGATACTATAATTTAAACAAACAAGAAATTTCATAAGATTTTTAGATATATATAGTATAGAGTTAAAATACCTAAGCAGTTCATTTTCACTGTTTTTGGCTTGACTGATGGTTTTTAAAAGATTATCAATGCGAAAATTAATACTCTCCGGTTCAAAAGTCATTGATCAAATATCATGGACCGCTACATGATAAGTTAAAAACACCGAATAAAACTCCTGAGGATGATGAACTTTGTAATAAGCGGTTCTTCAAGTCGTAGTAGTATAAGCAATAGCGTGGGGTTTAGGAAGAATATAATATTTAAAAAAAATATCATACCACTCCATTATAATTTTCTAATGCTAACCCTAATAATGCATAACCCCGGAATAGATATTAAGATAGGGGTATTTCACACCCCATACCGTACAGATCTGGTCATACTAATCTGTATAATTAGAAATGTTCTTGGCAGATAATAATTATCCAGACTAATGTAGATAAGAAGCTAAATGAGAGGTAAACGGCTTATATTAAATACTTAGTCAATTAAACCAATAAATAATTGATAAGCTTAAAGACTAAAAGTGCTTTCAATCCGATTAGCTAGTTGCCGAGATTGTGCATAAAGTACTATGATTAATTGAAGCGTTTCTTGCTATAATTTTGATAAAGATTCATATCACAAAATGCTGAAAATAAAATTTCAGCAAATCAGAACAAGTCTGTAATATAAAAAGGTGGTTTCAGTTTTTATTTTTTCATCGAGACAATGAACTACTTACCGGTTAAACTACTTTGCACAAATTAAAAATTGGGTTTGACCTATTAATTATGTGCTTGAGAGAATTTTAAATCAATACGAATAAAATAAATAAAACTAACAAATATGATAGTATACTTAAATTTTAATATATTTATTCAAGATTTGAGAAAAAGCCAAATTACAATATAATGAAAAATTCTAAATTTTTAAACTTAAATTATATAAAGTTTAAATGTTATTTAGTAAAAAGTTGAACTTTGCCAAAATTGATATGCATGTTTATAATTAAATTCATCATAAGGAGGACCGTTTAAAGAAATCATAAGAATATCATTTAGAGTATCCGAATTCATTCTATTTCTAAGTTTGGTTTTGATAAGGTTTTGCTTAGAAAAAACATGCTTAACATAAGCACTAGAAAGAGGTAGGCACAAGATAATTGAAATAATAGTATAAATATTGGGATAAATTAAAGAAAAATCCTGAATATCTCGTAGTATATTATGCCATGCAGTAGTAATATGTAAACTATGGTAATTAGAAAGAAGTGAATGAATAACTCTCCATTCTTGTGCAAAATTATCTGCATCAATAACTTTGTAATGTTCATGACCTAATTTTTTATATATAGTATAACGATTATAATAATAAATATATATTTATTTATTTGAAGTTTATAAATTTTAAATAAAAAAATTTTTACTACCTGCGATCTTTTTAGAAATTCCATAAAAATTTCCAATTTTATTAATTTTATGATTTCCATAAACTGAAATTGAATAGGGTAATTGCCTTGGATCAAAAATTCTAAATGAATTTATACAGTCGTACCTGGGTTATATCTCCACTGGGTTATATCCCCTCTTATTTATTACCTTAGTTATATCCCCATATTTAGACAGAATAAATTTCTTTTTTTTATATGTTTTATATATTGAGTTATATCTCAACCTTAGTTATATCTCCAAAAAAATTAAAAAACATATAGAGACAAAAAGGGGCGATATAACCCAGGTACGACTGTAATTTCATGGTCTGGAAAATGAAGTTTAATATTTGTTACTGTATTTTCAGTGAATTCGTATATAAATGAGAGAAGATCATTAGGTAAAATATCATTTTGATTCATAAATTGTAATAGAATAGTTCCAAAGGTAGGTTGCACATTTGTAGTACCAATAAAATCAGTTGTAATAGACTCAATTATTGCATTTACTTGCATAGTAACCTCTGAAACAGAAACATAATTAGCCTGAAAAATTAAAGAAAGTTGATGAAGTTGTGAAAGTATATTAGCTAAAAAGTGTATTGCAACTAGAAAATCATCATCGATACTATTATAAAGCTGTTGTGCAGTTTTCTGGCCTTTAGATGCATCTTCTAATAATGCACTAATTACAGAATTAATAATTTGATAAAGATTATTAACATAATTACTTAATGAAAGCCATCGTGTTTTAATAACTTGCAAAATATCCAAATTAGGTTCATTTAAAGTATTTTGCATCATTCGCAAAGCTTGTAATCGTGAGTATGATCTGCTAAAATAGCTATATAGTTGTCGAACAGTTTCATCATAGGATTCAAAATATGGAGTTTGCTCAGCAGCATCTTTAGAAGCAAGTGCTAAACGATGACTTATGCAATGATGCTCAGTAAGAAATGGATGCCGATTTTTTAACTTTGTTGCTATTCCATTTACATGTCCTAAAATAATATTTATTAGTTAATAAATATATGTAAAATAGACATATAATTAAAATAATATTTACCTAAATTAACACTTGCACCATCACTTCCAAAATGATAAAGTGTTTCTAATGGTAAGTGTTTAGTAAGAATAAATCAATCCAACTCATTAAGAATTGCATTTGATGAGGCATTTTGAAGTTTAACAATTCCTAAATAGTGAAAAACTGGTAAATTATATAATATATGTTGTGAAACAATAGCAAGATTTTTTTATTAGAAATTGTATTGCTTTCATCAATCATAAGACTCCATGCTTTAGATGCTCATAATTCATTAAATATGGCTTCTTCAATAACATGTGAAATTGCTACAATAAATTGCCTTCTAGCATGATCATTAACATATGATCCATATTCACTACGTGTAGATTGTACTGTAGTTATTGATTCAGGTAAACTTAAAAGATTTGCACCACCAGGAATTATACTATTTTTAGTATTTTGAATTTGCAACTCAACAAGATGACACAAGTCTTCAAAATTAAGTGTAGCAATATTATGCTTTACAAGAA